AATGTTAAACCTATCAATCCGAAAGAAGCCATGAAGCTTGTGGCTCGCTATGTGGCAGAAGAAATGCTACTATTGTCTACGGTGGAGTCTAAAAAAAGGTGGAGGAGGACTCGCTGACAGACAGGTCAGACTCAGGACTTGCATTATGCCTGGTACACTACACGACTTTTCTGCCCGTTCTGAAAGTCACTATGTCACATTACACGATTGTGGAGTCATAAAATCATGCCGTGACTTGGCCGACAGACATGACACACTACACGATGGTACTCATTTATTATCCCTGGTCATCTTTCATGGCATGTCTGATGTCATTGGGTTATTCTTGTCCTATTTTTATTACCTCTCTCAAAAAGGTTATGTTTTCGCTGGTGTTGGTCTGTCTGTTTGTTTGTTTGTCTGCAAAATAACTCAAAAAGTTCTGAACAGATTTTGATGAAATTTTCAGGAAAGGTTGATAATGAGACAAGGAACAGATTATAGATTTCGGTGGTGATCGGTTGAAGCGAAGTGGATAAAATAATAAAATGGTGGGAAATCCGAGCTGCTTGGCGGAGGTCTGCGCCTTCCGAATGCTTTTCTAGTTACTTTTACTATCATCTGAGTCATTGTGCCTGTTCATGTGCCAGAAATGTTGTTGTAGTCCCCTAAAAGCATCAGCAGATGGCAGAAGCTACATTTTAAGTACAGTACGTAAACATTCAAGCATATCCTCCACAACCAAGTTCCTACAAACGTTTCACAATAAAAGCCTATTTAGAAAATGGAGGGATTCTCTCAGCCGAGGTTATAAGGGTCTTTTAATTTGCAAGAAATTCAGAAAGTGTTGAGTTTGAAATGACGGCGCGATATGTTAACTTTATAAAGACAACGGGAGCAGATAAAAAGTAAATATATAAAAACACAGAGGGATTAATAAATAACGGACCGTCTATAATGTAGTCTGTTTCAAATGAAGCTGGTAGCCTCTGCAGTTGTGATGAGTAAAAGCCCCGACACTATTTGTTAATGTTATTACTTTATGTCCGACCGTGAGGATGTAACATTGTTTGCTAGCTTGATGCTAATGACAGTAACGTTACACAGCACGTTGATAAAGTGCCTCTGCTGTTTCACACCATCATCTTCCCCTTTTACTCCATGTGGTAACATCCCTAGAGGAAATATTAAAAATGCTGGGGTGTTGTTGTCATACAGTTGTCTATGACAGCAGATCGTTCTGTGTTTCTACTGGTCAAAGTGACGACTGTGATGGGAGAATTGGATCTCAGTGAAGGGCAAGTGGTCCATAACTAAATCTAATCTAAAAAATTAGTCCCTGATAATATTTTTCATCTGATCCTTTGCTCTTCCTTATCAACATGTTGTGAAAACACTCTGAGCAGTAAAATACAACACATCATCTGTAGTGTCTAACAAATTTCAAAGGCTTTTAGTAATTACTATGGTTTATTGACTCATATAACTGTTTAGGTTAGTTTTTACAAATTTTAGAGATATGAAGCATTTGAAGATACACATCAGGGTTAGGGCATACACGTCAAGGTCAAGGTCGGGCATGTAAACTAACAACTCACTTGCCCGATCGGGCAAGTTGCTAAAAATAGTAAAAGTTAATAACTAATTGATAAATAAATGTATTTTAAAACGTGCCCTTCTGCTCTGATGCAACGGTCTCTCTGCCTGAAGTCACAGGCACATGCTGTGTAACAATGTCCTGCCCACGGCCCCCATTGATATTATTTTGTGTGACGGACGCTTCATATAATGACATAACAATGTACTATTTATGGTGTTATGTCATCGTGTCATTTCTGTCTCTACATGGTCACGCGTTAACAGTTCTCCTCTGCTCTCTGTATCACGCACGGCGGAGTTCCGCCACACACACAGGTGAGCACGCTAGAGCGGCTTGGGCCTCATTTTCCTGACCAAACCTGATCCCGAGCCCGGTGCAGTTTGTCAGCTGACAAAGTTATTGTTATGGACACTGTGTAAATAACCATCAACAGACAGCTGTTACGCACAGACAAACAGCAGCTCGCACAGCAGCGCAGCACGGCACTCATACTGAGCTTGTGTTGCGTTCAGGCGTTGTCACGTAAATAACAACTTCCAACACTTAAATAGGTCATAGCACAAAACAGCAGCATGTCAAGTGACTTTTTACTTTTATTATATTCAACACAATTGTATGTTCCTAAATCTTGAGACACCTCATATGTAAGCTAGACAGACATTTCACCTGCTCATTACTGTGCACAAATGTACTGTATGTACTTAGTCCTAAAGAGCCCTTATGGTGCCAGTAGATACATAGAAACATCCCAGCAGGCTGTGCTTTGCAAGCATACAAAAAAGTTTCACCTCTGCTGCTACAACTCCATCCTAGGGGAAACACTGCTGTGTGCGTTTTGTGCAACAGGTGGATGTGGTAGTCTACTGGTAGAGTAGAGAGAGAGCTAAGTAGCATTGAAGTAGAGTAGAGCAGGGCAGAGAGATGGAAGCAAAATATATTAAACCCGGTGTTAATACAGCAGAACTGGAGAGAGGGGTGAAAAATTAATAGAGGTGGGCATGGGTGCAAAATTATAGATGGATAATGATTGACAAATTTTTCACTTTAAGCCCTGACACTGTGATTTTTGTGTAGGAATTAAACTACAATACATGATATATGTTGTTTTAAATAGTAAATACAGTGTGAATAAAGATTACATAACATAAAAATAACTGCAGTCTTTGTTATTTGATAGCCGCTTAAATTAAACAATTTTTACAGGGCAAGTAAAAACTGACTTCGGGCAAGTAGATCTCTGACCAACTTGCCTGACTGGGCAAGTGAAAAAAAAACCTTAGCGTTGAACCCTGCACATACTTCAAGAAATGACATTACAATAAGCAAAACTACCAATGAAGGCACTGGTGGACCGTTTCTATTGCAGAGGTCAAGAGGGTAATCTTGAACAGTGTGTTGTATATTATAATATAATTATATGGTTTTTTTTTGTTTGTATGTTGGTTTAGTTTCTGGTGTAACAGAGCCATGTAACATCATCCCTTCTGTCCTCATCTTTTGCACCAGTCCTTAATATATGACATAATAAAGCAGGAATCTATCACAAAATAAACCAAAGAAGGTGCAGTTCCCAAACAGAGACAGCTGGTTCATACTCTCGGGCTGTGTGCGTTGGAACCTGATGTGACTCTTTACTCCAAGTTGCTTTTTGACTGTGGAACCGCAGATGCTTGTTCACAATCAATTCAGGCTGCTACAGCAAAGGAGCTTTCAGTGTTCCAAAAAGACAGCTTGTCAGAAAATGAGAAAATGACTTGGATATTCTGATAAAGCATATGAATTTTTAAAGAAGATGTTGCATGTACACGTGCACTAAGACCATTAGCAGATCCTGAGTTAAGAAGCAGCAATTACAAGGGTCAACATGAATGATTTCATAAGGTACACTGACAGGAAGTATAAAGCTGCCCTGAGTTAATCAAGAAATCATTTTCTGCATACTTGACATCAAAACAAACTGATGTGTAATGTTGAGTGTATTTGCAAAATGTATATTGTCTATGAAATAATTAGTTTTAATAACAGTGTTTGCTCCTACCAACTATGTAGTGATGGCCTGTGGAAAGAAGCTGTCTCTGAGCCTGTTTGCCAGAGGACAGCAGGACAAACAGGTGTGAAGCAGGATGGGTGCTGTCTCTGATGATTCAGGCAGCGGGATATATAAATGTTCTTCAGAGACGGGAGGGGGCAGCCGATGATCTTCTGCGCCGTCTTGTCCACTCTCTGGAGCCTCTCTCGGTCTGCCTCAGTGCAGTGCGTGAACCATACTGAGATGCAGTATGTTAAAATGCTCTCAAAGGTTGAGCAGTAGAAGGTCACCAGCAACTTCTCAGTGACGTTGTTCTGTTTGCAGTCCAGGAGAGGTCCACAGATATCGTGGTACCCAGCAAAGTGAAGGTGTGGACCCTCTCTACACTCTCTCTGCCCTGTGCTTCCCGAAGTCCAGGATGATCTCCTTTGTGGTGTTCAGAGCCAGGTTGTTTGCCATGCACCACGCAGATAATTTCAGGACCTCGTCCCTGTAGGCAGGCTCATCTCCACCTGAGATCAGCCCCACCACCGTCGTATTGTCAGCAAACTTCACTATGGTGTTGCTGGTGAGGGCAGGTCTACAGTTGGAGGTGTAGAGGGTGTAGAGTAGTGGGCTCAGCACACACCCTTGTTGGGAGCCCATACTCGGTGTCCGGGTGAAGGAGAGATGGGGTCCAAGTTTCACTGTCTGAGGCCGGTTTGTGAGAAAGTCCTTAATCCAAGAGCAGGTGGGTGGGGGGAGTCCCAGGTCAGACAGTTTGCTGACCAAGGTATCGGGGATGAAGGTGTTGAAGGCTGAGCTGTAGTCGATGAAGAGCATACTGATGTAGCTCTCCCGGTGTTCCAGGTGGCTCAGCGTGGTGTGAAGGGTGGTGGGTATGGCATCCTTGTTTGATCTGTTTGCTCTGTAAGCAAACTGGTGGGAGTCAAAGGAGGGAGGGAGGCAGGTTTTGATGTGATTCAGGACCAGCTGTTCCAAGCACTTGGTGATGACAGGTGTAAGTTCAACTGGGTATTAGTCATTGAGACTGACTGAGGCTGATTTTTTGGGTACAGGAATGATAGTGGCAGACTTCAGACAGGCTGGGATGGTGGCCTGTGTCAGGGAGAGATTGAAGATTGTGGGGAAGACCTGGCCTTCTGCTAGTGCAATGCTTGAGTCCTCTGCTGTGTTGATCTGCCCCCTGAAGTTGATGATCTGCTGGATACCCTGCCACACCTGCCGTGGGTTGTTGTAGGTAAGGTGGTTTTCTATTTTCCTCCTGTAGTCGGACTTGGCTTTCCTTATTTCTTTCTTCAGATCAGCTCTAGCAGCGCTGTACAGATCTTTGTTACCTGACCTGAAGGCGGTGTTGCGGTCCTTGAGGAGTGTCTTCACTTGGCTGGTCATTCAGGGCTTCTGGTTGGGGAACACCTGGATGCGTTTGTCCACCATGACATTCTTCATACAGAACTTGATGTAGGATAGTACAGACTCCGTGTGTACAGCCAGGTCCTGATGTTCAAAAACACTCGGTGTGGGTGAAACAGTCTTGAAGTTGAAGAAGTGCATCCTCAGGCCATGTTGTAATGTTCTCAATCAATAGAGTTGCCCTTCTTCTGAGAGGTGTGTATGCGGGGGTAAGGAGCAGAGATAGGTGGTCTGACTGGCCTAAGTGTGGGAGCTGTATGGCTCTGTATGCATGTTTAATAATTGTGTAAACATGATCTAATGTGTTATTCCCTCTGGTCAGACACTTAACATGCTGATAAAACCTAGGCAGGACAGACTTTAAAGGGATACGCCAACATTTTTTTTGTTTGCGTGTCCGAGTCCATGACAAGCAGGTAGATACCATTCTTTCGGCTATACATGCAGTAAAAAGGGAGAGCCGGGCAGAGCTCGCCCACCGCTAATTAGCTTAGCTCAAATGCTTGGAGTCAATGGGTATTGTTAGCCTGCCTCTGCCTGCAGTCATCAGATAAACTCTTCAGCAACTCTAAACGGTCCTGTGTGCTTGTTGTGACTCGTTTTTACCGCGTTATGTTACGTTATCTATTTTTAGACTAAGATTAGCACTTTATGTAAGTTTGGAGAGAAGTACATAGGAAACTAAACTGCAGTTCTGCGCATGCGCGCCAGTAAACAGCTGAGGAAGAAAGCAGAAGAAGAAGAAGAAGAAGAAGAAGCAGAAGAAGGGCGGTAATGCACCTGAGAAGTTGTTTGCCAACCGCCATAAAAAGAAAGAAGAAGAAGAAGAGGAGAAGAGCTCATGCAGTAGATCGGTGAAGGAGTTTCTAGGACACTGTGACACTTTTTTTGGAAGAGAGAGACTTATAAATCCCAATTTTACAAAATGCCTCGTACGTGTGCTGTACGGGGTTGCGACAATAAGCAGAAGATAGCGTCACATCTTATTTTTCACTCAATTCCAACTAGAAATCCGGAGCGGATGAAACAATGGCTAGGTGCTCTGAACATGGATCCCAACACCCCACAAGAAGCAGTCAAGAGGATGCTAGTTTGCTCAGAGCATTTTT